CCAAGCCCCGAGGAGGTAGTGAGAGATGAAACCCCGTCCGAGACGGACGCCGAGAAGGCTACGAGAGAGGAAGCCCCGTCGGGGCCAAGCCCCGAGGAAGCTATGAGAGAGGAAGCCCCACTGGGGACGGAACCCGAGGAGGCTATGAGTGAGGAAGCCCCGTCGGGGACGGAGCCCGAAGAGGTGATGCAAGAAGCCCAGGTTGGGACAGACCCCGAGGACGCGGTGCAGGAAGAAGCCCCGTCGGCGCCAAGCCCCGAGGAAGAAGCGGTGATAGAGGAAGCCCCGTCGGGGGCAGAACTTGAGAAGGAGGAGGAAGAGGCCCCAGCTGGAGACGAAGAGGCCACCCAGCGCCCCGGGGTTGCAGAGGACGCGGTGCCGGCTGCAGGGGAGACCGATGGCGGCCGGCAGTCGCCGGCAGGCCCCGGAGGGGAGGACGGAGCCGAGGTTCTGCCGGGGGCTGAGCGAAGAGCCGGAACCGGGGAGGCGGCGGAGGCCGGAGAGGAGAACGCTGCCTCGGGGGGAGGAGGCGCGGCGGCGGCGGGGCGGCCCGGAGGGTGGCCGGGCACCGAGGGCGGCGAGTGGGAGTCGGCGGGCCTGAGCCTGAACGGGGTGCAGGGCCGGGCGGAGGATGAGGAGGACGAGACGGGCTCGCCGACCGCGCTGGAGGATGAGGAGAAGCAGGAGTACGACATCTCTCTCTTCGTCAAGGTAGGGTGTGGGGAAGGCCGGGTTCGGGACCCCGAATGATGAGATGGGCGGTATTTAAATCTAGCAGTCAAAGCCCTGACCTGGCTAAAGGGATTTGGTTATTAGCACCGCATGTAAACCTGCGTCGTTTCGGGTTTCCTTGGCTTTAAATGGAATGCATACGTATGGCTCTCGGTTCTGGTTGACTCAGTGACACTGTGGGGCTGGGACCCAGGGCATGGCTGTGAATTAATTGTGCGGCTTCTGTTTCAGATTGCTGGCTATGACTTGTGATTAAGTGGTTTTTAAAACATTTTGAGATCTTTGGAATGTACCAAGAAGAGTATTCAGCACACTACATAGGGAGGGCTGAGGTGGAGAAAACTGAAAAATGTGTATTAAAATGGGATATTGGGATTTTCTAACCTACTGCAGTCAGCGTTAGGATAAATACCCTCAGATTCGACAGCTCTATAATCAGAAAGTCAGTGAAGTGAACTGATCAGAAGCATCATGTCCCTTGTAGTTGTCCAGTTTGCCAGTGTTTGGACAGGGAAAAGTCGAGTTAGGGACAAATTGTACCAGTTTATGTCATTTTACAGTGTAGAAAGCTTTTCATTCTTCCTTTTGTCCCATGTCTGAGATTCCACTGGAATCAGGGGTCTAGTGGTGGGACGACCATCCACCCACAGAGATGGAGTATCAGATGTGTAATTTCTGTAGGCAGTAACCACCTTAAGCTGCTTATATTCCCTCCTCTGGGACCCCTCTGAGCAAAGTCTGGAGCAGGACGGTTTTTATCAGTATACTGAAACTACTTATCAGTGAATGCTGAGTGTGGTGGAGGGACAAAGTCATGAAGGCTGTGTGTGCACTGTTGGACCTGAGCATATTTATTGAAGAATGTGGCCAAAATTAGAGGGACTGTAATAAGAGCATCTGTTGTGACTGCAGTCCTCCAAATCAGGATTAATGATGTTTTCTGAAAATATCTGTGGATTACTAAAAACAGAAGAAATTCTTTAATGATTTAACTTAGCATTAGTATCTTAAGGATGCCTTGATAACAACACTATAGCTACTTTTCTAATGATTTCAGTGGAAGAATATTACAAAGCTTTAGTACTTTTTTTGGACTAGGTGATTGCAGAGGTCTTTTCCAAATCTTTTCCAACCGTAATGATTCTATGATTCTCTGTAACACCTTGAGGTAGGTTTTAAGAGCACATGGATAATATTATGCTTTAATAGCTGCTGCGCGTTTGTGATAGGGAAAAAAAGGGGAAAGTATATTCCAAAGTGAAACAGCATGGACTCTTACATGTGGAGGAGATTCCTGACTGCTTCTGGATTACCACAGAATTTGGTCCACATTTTATAGAATGATAGAATCACCAAGGTTGGAAAAGACCCACAGGATCACCCAGTCCAACCATCCACCTGTCACCAATAGCTCTCACTAACTCATGTCCCTCAACACAACATCCAAACGTTCTTTGAACACCTCCAGGGTCGGTGACTCCACCACCTCCCCAGGCAGCCCATTCCAGTGCTTGACCATTCTTTCAGAAAAGCAGTATTTCCTCACATTCAGCCTGAATCTCCCCTGGTGCAGCCTGAAGCGATTCCCTCTAGTCCTACCACCAGTTACACGAGACAAGAGGCTGACTCCCAGCTCACTACAACCTCCATTCAGGTAGTTGCAGAGAGCAATAAGGTCTTTCCTGGGCCTCCTCCAGGCTGAACATTCCCAGCTCCTTCAGCCGCTCCTCATAAGGCCTGTGCTCCAGACCCCTCACCAGCTTTGCTGCCCTTCTTTGAATTCGCTCCATGGCCTCAAAGTCTTTCTTGCAGTGAGGGGCCCAAAACTGGACACAGTACTCGAGGTGCGGCCTCACCAGAGCTGAGTACAGGGGGACAATCACTGCCCTGTTCCTGCTGGCAACACCGTTTTTGATGCAAGCCAGGATGCCATTGGCCTTCTTGGCCACCCGGGCACACTGCTGGCTCACGTTCAGCTGAGCATCAATCAAGACCCCCGGGGCCATTTCCTTTACACAGTCTTCTAGCCACTCTGCCCCAAGCCTGTAGCTGTGAATGATCCACAGTTTTCCTGTTAAGGAACGTTATACTAGACTTGGCTGACACTAAAGTACTTTTGTTACTCTCTTAAGTTTTGAGAGTAACAAACTGAGCCATCACTATCAGAAAGTTTGCCATTTTCAGGTATGGCTAAATGGTGACTGGTAACAGGACCTCTGTACTACTGCTTCCTGTTCTTGCCACTGTTGATCATGAGCTTATTCTTTTGCACTTGGAGACTTTTTTTTTCTCTCTTCTGCTTCCTGCTTCTTTGCGTTGCTCCATTTCCAGTTTGAATGCATATATTTGAATACTGTGTCTATCATGTTGTCTTGTGCCATTTGAGGTAGCTGGCAAAGCTCCTGCCAGCTCCACAAGCATAGGCATCAGGAATTGTAGACTTAGGCTGATAGGTGTTGCTAGATGGTGATGTTTAGTTTGTACTTGGACACACAGCGTTAAGTTGGAGACCTTGTTCTACCTGGGATGCTCTGGCACTCAGTGGGGGTAGCAGCAGCTATGGGAGATGGTGTCATAGAGGTCTTTTCCAACCTTAATGATTCTATGATTATATGATCACTTAGTCCAATTGTAAGCCAGTCCCCATCATGCCCACTGCCCATGTCCCTCAGTGCCACATCCGGGTGGTCCCTGAACACTTCCAGGGATGGTGACTTCACCACCTCCCTGGGCAGCCTGTGCCACTGCTCTTTCTGAGAACTTATTCTTGCTAACATCCAACCTGAACCTGGTGCAACTTGAGGCCATTCCCTCTCGTTCTATCTCCGTAACCTGGGAGAAGAGGCCAAGCCCCACCTCACCGTGACCTCCTCTCAGGTGGCTGTGGAGTGTGATGAGATTTCCCCTGAGCCTTCTCTTCTCTGGACTGAACAATCCCAGTTCCCTCAGCTGCTCCCAGTAAGTCTTGTGCTCCAGACTTTCTGGACCAGCAGCTGTACACCAGGTGGACCTGTCTAAGGCATCCCCTGAGATAACAGAAATCTGTCTTTAGGCACTGGGCTGTGCCCTTAACAAAGATGAATGGTGTAAGACTCCTTGGCTGTGAGGGCAAGACCATATCAAAAGTGATGTAAGTATTTAACCAGGTACTTATTTGATTTCCACTTCTCTGTGAAACAGCACTACCCTGTATTTCCATTAGATAGTGATGTTTGAGGTTTTTGGTGTTTCAAAGTCAAGTGTTTGTAAAAGGGCATCCAGATATACCTTCTGATTGACCATTCTGCTAAGCATGTTGGGTAGGACACCTTGTGGATGTTGGTTCTGGCTATTTGGTCTGCTAATGTTAAGTGTGTGTATGCTCTTTTCCTTTCCAGTGCTGTGACAAGAGCTTTTATTTGACAGAAAATGTCATGTATGTATCCTGCCTCTTGAATTTAGTGGAATTTTTATTAAAATATTCATTTAGTATGAAGTAATTTAAAATTTATGTAGGATTTGAGAGTCTATTTCTTAATTAAAAAATTTTAAAATCCCACAAAACAAGCAAACATAACCACCAAAAAACCCAAACAATCCAATCTCCAAGTTTACCTACCAATCATTTTTGGTAGGTAACCAAAGGCAGAGACAACTTAAATACAAGAATCACAACTACAGATTTCACCATTCTAAAGATTTATGTGGATAGTAATTTAACTGTAAGTGCTGAGCACAGGCAGCCAACAACCCAGCTTGAGCACAAGGTCTTATCTGAGATGATTCCTCTTCCAAAACAGTTCTCATTTAGTTTCAAGATTGGATGTTTTATTGTAAAAGCTGCCCAGGAGCCTAAGGGAAATAGATTTTATTCAACCAGAAGTAATAGTCTTCATTCAATTTTTGTTGCGTTCTTGATCTTTAAATCAAAGTCACTTATTTTCATTTCAGGGGTCATTTCATCCCCAGCAGGGAACAACATTGCTTGACGGACACCAAATTTCCCAGCACCATTCCTGAGATATGTCATGTCAGTCAAGCACACTTATGGCTGTGCTGAATCATCAAAAATGCTGATAAATCAGAAAGTAAAAACTTCAGAAACTTTGCTGTGACTGGAGACAGAAGAAGGAACAAGTGCCTTCATCTGTGCCTCCAAACACTGCAATCAGACTATCTGTCTTAAATGGCAGGGCGTGCTACGTGCAGGAGCATTCTGTTGTTCTGATGGAGTTTGTATATAACTAATACATAAAATACATATAGGCTGTTCTAAAATTGAATTATTGGGCTTTGAGTGCAGGAACCAAGAAGTTCATGGACAGCAGGGGCACAGGCATCTGAAAAAACCCTTGTGGTGTGTATGCCCATTCAGTGATCTCTGTTTTGTACCTGATGCGCTATATCTAAGCACTTACAGTATAATCACAGTACAGTGTGGGTATTTATTAGCATTGGGTGAAAATTAGGTACACTATCCCAGACAACTGTTCAAAGCTTGCATTGATGAGTGTGTTGGATTTGTGGAAGGCTGTGGTAAGACAGAATGCTGGGGAATGAGGATTTGATGAGGTTTGGTCAGTGGCTCAGGAGAAACCCAGCGTGGTGGAGCAGAGTGGGAGGATTACTGAAAGCAGCACCTGGCTGAAGCTGGATGAGGCTGACTATCGTGGATGCCCCAGCAGAGCCCAGCTCTGATTTCCTGGATGGTGTATTTTTTCTATGGTGATTTTGATGCTTTGAGTGTATACAGCTGTACACCAAGAACCAAAGCAGGTATCAGGAGGTGTGCTTGTTAAAATACATGAGGCAGTTCTTTTCCCAGGACTAGCTTACAAGGCAGGAAACTGGCTGCCTTCCCAAAGGCTATTTGCCTTTTCTCAGCTACCTTATTATTATTTTTTTTTCCCAGCTGGACTGTGTCAAGTTAGGGTTTCCTAATGCAGCTTAAGAGAGCCTGGCATTATGAATTCCTTTCATACCTCCCCAGGCTATTTACT